AGATATGAAACTAGACCACTAGATGTAAAATTTTATGCTTAACAACTTTACTTAGAAGTCCAGAGGCTGTTTACTTAGTAAAATTTTTATATATTTTGAAAAAACTAGAGAAATAAAGAATATTTAATATCTCCGCGAAAAAAGGTCCGGAGGAGATAAAACTAGGCTATTCTGAAGTAAAATTTTGTTGTGAACAACTTTACTTAGTGGCCCAGAGATAGTTTATTTAGTAGAATTTTGAGTAATAATTAAATGTTTGCAAGAAGTTTTGGTACAAATGATCTTCGGAAAGAGTTGCTAAATTGTGTCTAAAAGTCTTTATAATAAACTTTTATATAGAGCATAAATTTCAATTTTTACTATGTTTTATTATAAAAAAAATCATGTAATGCAAATCATATGATCATTACTGTATCATGAATTTTAAATAGATATATAGCCCTAATAGTTTAATAGCTAAGAATAAAATTTTACAGAACTAATATCATAGTTATACAAATAAATTTATGAAGCTATTATAATTTTTTTACATTTAAATGTAAAAAAATAACTTTGTAACTTTAATAGAATAATATTTTGACCTATTTACAGTATTTAGATTCAAACCAAGATTTTTTGAGTATGCAAAGTTTTGAAACTTGCACTTTCATGTGCTTCTGTTTTAACTATACGTCTATTTTCATAAAGAATTTGAAGATACATAAAAATATCTATTATATGATATCACATATAATTTTACATAACTGATAATATACTATACTCCAATGATCTTTTGTAGTATTATTTCTTCTAGTATTATACTCAATTATTAGAAACATATCGTTTACAATATACATACTAGCAGTATTATTAATATAGTACTTTTTTTCCAAGTAGTAAAAGCAGAAACTATACTAATAAATTTAATATATTATTTACATAACAACATTGATTGAAGTGAAATAGTATTTCAGAATTCAATGGATTCTATTTTTCTAGTTTAGAATCAAATATAAATTATGAATTGATATAAATATAACAATACTAGATATGACTGAATGAAGTAGCCTTTCACAATTAAATAGTAATAAATTAACTTCTGTATTTACTAACTAGATAATAACAATAATGTTTAAATCATTCCGTCTGGTTGTCCAGATACTAATCTTATCAGTTATTGATGTCAATAATTTTGGTCAATATCTCATTAATCATAAATTTGAGCATAAATTCAAGCTATTAATCACTTATTTAAAGAATTACTATAGCATAATGATAAATTAGAAATCTGAATAAACTAGTTTAATTATATATAAATACTACATATGGCTAAAAAATTTTGATAAGAATTTGATAATTATTAAAATGTGATAGAATAAAATATTGCAGCAGATTAATAGAATTGAACCTACTTTTTAATTTGTAAATTACATAGTATCGTTAGTGAATAAAAGGTTCAATTTATAGAGGTATTTAGATAAAAGTCAAATTCTGCTGAAATAAATAGACAATCATATTTTTTTACATCATTAGCAAAACATTTCTTTTTATATTATAATTTATTTGTTTTTTTGAGAAACACTTCTTGTTCTTCCTGTGTTTTTTAACTATTCACCTAGTGCCAAATTTTGAAATTCTATCTCTGTTGTTAACTCTTTAAGGTCTAACTTTTCTTGAGTTTTATAATTCATAAAAAACTTAACTGACTTTGTTCGATGCTTTTTTAGTTGTGACATCTAATATTAAAAGAAAAAATATTAGTCAAATAAACTAAGTACAAATATCAAAGGACAAAGAGAGAAAAAAAATCAAAACTAATTAGCTTTTACTTATAAGTAATAGTAGTGTAACCCTAAGTATAGATGAGTGCTAAAATTATTTGACTCATGCTATAAATCTAAATAGCTAAAAATATTTTAGCATTTTAAACTACAAATAATTTAGTATGTTGAAAAAAAATTGTAATACTAAATATTATAGAATGCTAAATATTTTAGGATAGCAAAATATTTTTAGATGCTGAAATATTTTAGAATAACAAAATATTTTATGATGCTAAAATATTTTAGAATACCAAAATATTTAGACTAGTATATTAGTATATGAATTGAATAAAATCAACTAACCAAATACAAAATTATAATTCTAATACTAAGTATTTTAAACTTGTTTTATGCTTTTTAATAGTTACTATTACAACAAAATTATAAACTTTGAAATTATTTTTTTTAATTTCAACTCGTAGGTTGAAATAAAGTCTTGTCTCTATCTTTATTAGATAAAATATAGTTAAGAGTTTATATAAAACTACTTAGTAATAGATTACATACAAGAATTGAAGCTTAGACAATAATAAAATGACTAGAACTAAAGTAATACTAAAGCTAGACTAATTTAAAATTATCTGTAACTTAAACCTACTAGAATAGTTAAGACTTACTTAGATTTGATTAGAAAGAATAGAATTTGTAAAAAAGCTATATTTAATTTAGTATAATAGCTAAGCTAAGAGTTTTTGTATAGCAAGTTCAGTTGGTGAAGTTTGATTATGTTGAGAAGAAAGACTATAAAAATTGTATAATTCTTGAGAATTATGATAGAGTTGTTTATTGTTTCTTCAGTTTGGTTGAGTATTTGAGTATAGTATATAGATATTGTGTTGTTGTTTCAGTTTGTATATTCTGAATAATAAGGTAACTATAGTTGTTTATAAATTTTTTAGTTAAGTTTAAGGAATAACTTAATAGTTAGCTATGAAGCAGTTTGAAGTAAGTTAGTATATAGTTAAATTATTTGAATAAATATATATAGTATAAGCCTTTTAAGTAATATATATAAACTAATAGTATTAAAAAAGTCTGTAAATAGTTAAAGTGAAGAATGATAAATAATAGAGTTATGTAGTGTATTAAGTTAAACTTGAGTAATTTCTAGATTTGCAGTGTTAAGAATTTCAATTACTGATTATAAAATAATTTTTTATAGAGTATTATTATTATAGTTTGTGATCTAATAGAGTTTCAAATCTATTTGGTTGCATTTAAAGCATTTGTTATTTGGTATAATATTTAAATAGTATTTTTGTAGATGTAATAGTATAAATAGTTCATTATATAGAAGTTTAATATAAAAAGTTTTAAGTTTACTAAGCTTGAAGTTAGTATATTTGTGTAATCATTTATTGTTATTATTAAGATATAATTATATTAAGTTTTAATCAACTTGGTCATATAGATAAGTCTATGTTTAGTTATAGTTTTGTAATAACTATATTGCAATAATATAGGTATTACATATTGTTTTGATAAGTTTATAAATGGATTGTTTTATATTAAAGTTTTTTTATATAATATAAAAGTTAGAATTATATTGATTAGTATATTTGAATTCAAAAAATAGTAGAGTTTAGTAAGTTTGTATAAGTGTATTAGCTATATCATTAAAGTTATCATTATTATAAGCTAATACTTTATAAAATATAATTATAAGATTATAAGATTTAATAAGGTTGAGTATTGAGTATCAGATTAGCTAATTGTTGTATGAGTAGGCATATGAAGAATTTGTAGTTGTTTGAGTAAGTTTTTGATATTTGTATATTACAAAGTATAAATTAGTATAAATATCAATTTTATAATTCTGAAAGGCTATGCTAATTGCTGATAATATTACAAGTAGTTTTGTTTTGTAAAATAAAAGCTAATATTAAACTTGTGTAGCAAAAGAGTTTGTTATCAGATTGTTTTCAACTTGTACTTAACAAATATCTATAGAGTTTGTATCTAACTTATAGTAAACTCTGTTTGTTTCTAGGAGTTGTAATTCTGTAAATCATATTATACTAATATTGCTTGAATATTAGAAGTGTAATAGAATATTAGAGTTGTATTGCATAAATAAATTAAGATAAAATCTATGAGCAAAGGATCTGTATAGTAGAAATTCTGAGTTAGATAAAGTAGTATAGATTTCAATAGTTATACTAGTTAATACTTGATCTGATAAAGATTTCTAAGTATGAAGATATTGATTGAGTAGATGCAAGTAAGTCTGTGATATTGGATATTATAGCAATACCAATTTGGCTTAGTAGCTAACTAGATTGAGAGGATCTGCTTTGTGAAATATTTGAAAGAATACAGAAGTTTAAACTAGTAGAGAGCTACAGCTAAAACTAGATTTGTATAAATATCAAATAAGGGTATTATAAGCTAAAATAAAGATATAGTATAGCATAGTTGGGTATTATAATATCTGTTTGTTAGAGAATGTTGAAGTAGAACTTATTCAGATAAGACCTGAGCTTATAATAGTAAAGTTTGCAACTAATGTTAGCTTAAGTATCTTTTAAAGTAAAGTAGTACAGAATTATAGTTAACTATAAGAGTAATATTTGCAATAAGTGGAGTAAAACTAGAGAGTTTAAATAGAGAATCTTCTAAGAGATTTTAGGTATAGTAACTAGTGTAGAACCTTCAGGTAAACTATTTAAAATAGACAATCTAAAATTGTATATATAGCTAGTTGCACTTTCATAATATGTATTATTTCTAAAATTTATAAAATTAATAAAGTTTAGCTAATAGCATTTGTATAAAGTAAAAAAAAAAAAAAAATCTATAGAGTAATAGTTAGTTATTAAGTTGTGAACAAATCTATTTGTATAGAAAGTTAAGTTTGTAGAGTTAAAGTTAGATATTGCAATATTGTTTAAGTTGAAAGAAGAGCTATTTAGTTCAAATAGTTCAAAAACAAAGTTGTTATAAATAAGAATATTTGAAGTAGAAAGTATATATATTAGATATCTGTTTGTGTTGTATATATTAGATCTAAGTAGTTTATATTAAGTTTGAGTATTGTAGTTTAGTTATTTGAATTTTTTTTTTTAGAATTTTGTTGATAAAGTAGCTGAAATATCAACAGTATATAATAAAAAAAAAAAACTCTTTCCTGTACATCCCAATTTACATATAAAATTTTTTGTGTACAAGAAAAAGTTAATCAGAAACAACTAACTAAATAAAATTCTCAAAGAAGTGCAAGTACAAACTACTGGAGTGCTAACAAGCACTCCACACAAAACAACTTCTACATTAAATAATATCAAACAGCAAAAAAAAAGAGACAGGAACAGCAACAGCAAAGAAAACAAACCAGAGAGCACCTCCTAAAAAGAAAACCAAATAATCAAGAAACACCAACAACAACCTCAACAAAATGAAATGAGCCAAGCTTACAATACAAACAGATAATGACATGAAGAAGAAGAGGAAACAGAAATAGAAAACAATCAAGACCTTAAGAAAAACAAAAGACGCAAAACTATAGATATACTGCAACCCAATATCAGAATAGAAAATCTAGAAAAAAGTGAGCAAAATGGCTTACCCCTGACAAATTTATATATAGGAAAAAATAATAATAACAACAATACAACAATTACTAATTCGGATGAGATCACAGCAACTCAAACCAAATCAGAAGATCTGCAATGCACTAGCGACAACAATAACAACAAACAGGAAATTACAACCAACAAATCAGATGATGCAATGATTGAAATAGTAAGTAACCAAATATCTAACAGCCAAACTAGGAATACTAGTAACATAACTATGGAAATAACAAGCTTAGGATCACCTTGAACGATAACTCTAGATATTGAACTCAACCAAGAGGAAATAGCTAAAGAAGAAAAAACCAAAGGCAAGAAACTTCATATAGCCAAGCTCTTCAACAAAACCTAGAAAATAGCATGCATTTAGAAACAGATACAGACTACACAGATCACTAGCAGCAACATGTGAAAAAAGCAATAGAAAATGCAATAACAAAGGAATTCGATACAGAGACATAGAATTATAATAAAATCATCCAAGCTCTCAACACAAATGAAGAAATAAAAAACTTCATAGAATACAAACTCAATACAATAACTACTAATATTCAAATTCCCGAGGCAATAAAGAAAAAATTTATTTACAAAGATACGGCCTTCTTTGTAACCTTTACACAAGAGAAAAACACAATACTAGTACATCAAAAAGAGTTCATTGACTTACAAACAAAGACAATACAGGTATACAAACAAACTAACGAAATTATCTTGCTAAACAGAAAAGTAAGAGACATGATCCAACTCAAATTATAACAAAAAATTATGATTGACTACTTGCTTAATACAAACTTCTAGAACTTAACAAGTACCAAATATACCAAGAGCTAAAATATATAAGAAATTTTATAAAAGCAGAAAAAATTGAAGACTACACTACAACACAGAAAGCAATAGAAGATGCAATAAATGCAAAACTTCAAAAACTCTCTGAAAGGCCAAATTTAATCTCAGAAGAGATACGAAACATCCTACCCTTTAAACTACTAATCAAAAAAAGGTCTCAAACGACTGCTATATTAAATACACTAAGAATCATTTACAACTTCAGTTGTCTACCTGATTCATATTTCAAAAAGTTACCTCAACTCTCTAAAACACCTTATGATCTACCTATTGAGATGAAATATGCTTTCCCAATACATACCAGAAGCCAACTTCAACAACTCTGCTACTATATACAAAAGCTCTGAGATTATTATAGTTTTGAGCAACTACTAAAAACATATTTCAATTTACCACCACTAAGAGAAGCCTTACCTGTAATATACTATGAGCTTAACAGCTGAGTTTGTGAAATATTCCCAGTAGATCTATCAATAGAAGAGTACACAATCAAAG